GCCTGCTGATCCCCCCTAACCAGTTTATAACAGGCCACAAGATCCCCCCTCAGCCTTCTCTTTTGAAGGCTGAACAGGTTCAGGTCCCGCAACCTTTCCTCATAGGACCTACCCTGCTGTCCCTTGATCATACGAGTGGCCCTCCTCTGGACCCTCTCGGTGCTGTCCACATCTCTCCTGAAGTGCGGCGCCCAGAACTGGATGCAGTACTCCAACTGCGGCCTGACCAGTGCCGCATAGAGGGGGAGGATCACCTCCTTGAACCTGCTTAAGATGCATCTGTGGATGCATGACAAGGTGCAGTTAATGGTGTGATAAAGCAAGGAACAAGCCACAACATTATTACACAAAATATGTGTAATACCTTTGTGGTTGGTTACCATCAGGCTTTAAATTGCACATATGACCAGGCTAATCATGGCTCCAAGCCTTAGGAGGGCATGGGAACCTTTGACTTGCCTGCACTCCTCAAATGAGCCCTGATCAGCTGATTCTTGTTCCCAGTGTTGGGGGTGCATTGAAGTCCAAGGCTGCACAGTGTCACAGAGACTGGGAGCTCCAATCTGCTGTCCCTCCCAGCTGTGGAGGCACATTGGAGTCAAAGACTCTCTCTGCCACTGAAGCTGGGAACCCCAGTCATCTGGTTTGTCCTCCATGCTTCTGGGGCACAGCTGGAGTCAAGGGCTCCACTACTCTCTGGAGGCTGGGAATACAGATCAGCTGGCCTTCCTCACAGCCTCTGGTGTGCAAAGGAACCCTTGAGTCTACTTCACCTCAGAGGCTGGGAGTAGCAGTTGATTAGGGCTCCCAGCTTTGGGGGCTTATCAGAGCCCTCCACTTTGATATGCTGCTGAAGGTAGGAGTGGGGATCATCTGACTGGCTTCCTAAATGCTGGTTTAAGGGATCCCAGGTTTCTCCTGCACTGGCAATATGGCGTGATGGAGATCTGATCCCCAGTGCCACAATCGGACCTCCTGCCATGCATGTCTAGCATACCAGGAAGTGCAGTTGTTGGGATTATGTATCAGAGCCCATACTCAACATTTGCCAGAGACCATAGACTCTAATGGGCCTCTTCCCAACAGCCCTTCTTCATGGAACTCTATCCAGTTATTGAGGAAGCCATATGCCTCCTGCTCTTCCCATATAGCCATGCATTCGTTTTGAGGATTCATATGTCCTAACTCAGCCTCTTCCCTCAACTGTGAGAATTCAAAAAACACCCAGGCCCTGATTCCTCTTTGTTCCCAGAACTGTATAGTCGCTGTTTTGGGGCCGTACCTGTTAGTGTCTCTAATATCCATAATTTCTGAATCAAAGCTAGGGTGACTTGCTTATAGTTCTTCAAAAGTAGATGGAAGACCTTTTTTTTTTTTTCCTCAGGGAATGATACGACTGATTGAAATACATGCTAAAATCCATTAAATAGCATGGTTTGCAGTGCCAGTTGTGTCTAATGAAGTGGAACCAAAATTAGGTAGCATTTTGTATCTTCACTTAAAATGGCAAGATTAAGAAATAAACTCTATCTGCACCATTACTGTAAAATGTTTCTAGTTAAAAACTTTAAAATATTTCAAGATATGGACAGTGTTCTTAACTGGATACCTTTTGTAGCACCTTGAATAACTAGTTTTTAAAAACCTTGTCTTTATGATCACATGACAAACTGTTGAAGCACAATATTAACATAAATTGATGAAACCAAGTTGCTTTAGTGTGCATCAGGGAAATAATCGCACCTTGAAAGGATACTATAATGTGATGTTCAAGTATGATGGAATAGTCTTCAACTGTAAGTTGTTAAAATCAACAAAAGTGGCTATTTAGTTTGTCAAATCACATGCAGATAGTTGCTCTGAGTATACTATTATATGAGCCTTCTAACATGTTTGTAATCAGAAAACAAAGTAATGATATTGTGTTTATGTCACTATAACTTCTATTTTATGTGTTTTTTACATAGGAGCAACTGCTGCAGCACGAAAGGAAGTCATAAGGAATAAGATCAGAGCAATAGGAAAAATGGCCAGAGTTTTCTCTGTGCTAAGGTAGGACTACCTGTTTTGATAATGAACCATTTTTTTCATGGTCATTTAGAGCAGTCTGTTATTTAAACTATAAACATTTTCTGATGTTTTAATATGCCACTTAAATACAATATATTGGAACCTTTTAAAAATGATTTTATCTGACAAACATTGCTGCTATACAGCTTCTCTGTGAGAACTCAATTGCCATTGTTTTGAAATGTTATGACTTTCCAAAGCATAACTGTTAAGCATTTTTAAAGTGTTTTAAAATGCAAATTCCTAACATCTTTTGTTTTTAAGTACCTTTCTCTCCATGTGTAGAATTCACAGTTAGCCACTCTGCCACAAGACTTAAATACAGAAAGAGTATGTTAAGCATTACGTGTCTCATTAAAAAGAAAACCTGCTGTCACAGTTTGTCACCCTTTACTGTTGCTGCAACTTTGAATATGATTAAAGATGAAAGCATTGGGTTCATTTAACTAAAACTCCAGGAAATGAGCACAAACAGTAGCAACTTGTTACCCTTCATCTGCACTCCTCCACTAACACACGAGCGAGAGTAACTAATTACTACCTATTGTTTAGAACTTTCCATCTGATGTTTCTAAGTAGAATAGAAAACACGTACTGTGCTATTCTTAAGTGTGAATATAGAAAATATACTTCTTCTCAGCAAAAGGACTTTTTTTTTGTATTCCATACCATAATTTCCAAAACTAGATTCTTTATCAGCCAGATTGTGTTGCTGAGTATCTCTTTAAACATGTGGCAGATGCAAAAAAAGTCTAAACTAAAACCAGTATAGGAAATTAATTTTGGATGCTCAGCTCATTTATTTCATATTTAATATTATACTAATGCAGTAATTCTCAACCAGACTGCTGCAGCATCCTGAGGTGCAATGATATCCTTTTAAGGGTGTTATGGGGAGCAATATCAGTGCTGTTAGGTGTGCACACTCCTACACATTATTCACAAGATAAACATGGAGATTTCAAATAGAAATTTGTAGTGTCAGAACCATTCTGACTTGCTGTGGTCTTTTGGAGTTTTTTGCAATAGGGGAATTTCTTTTTTTCCATTGTCAAAAAATCAAGTGAAATTAGTTTTTTAAATGAGGTGTGCTGCTAAATTTAATACACTTAGAAAAGTTATGGAGGTTTCCTTTGCATCTAAGCATGAGAACCATTTTGTACAGTACTAGTGATTTATATTGCATGGCAAATATTTTCAGAAGCAGCTTGTGGCCTTCAGCAGGGAATGAGAGATATGGCTCACTTTTGTGTGCCCAATATGAAATGCCATAAAGAAATCTGATTTTTCACTGTTTCGTCACTTTCAGAAAATTGCACTGTTCTCAAGGTATTTCAAGTAAGACAAAATTTGTAGCTCCCTGATTGCAAAGACGGCAAAAGAGTGAAAAGGAGAATAGAAACAGGAAGATTCATTATTGCTACCCTCTGTAGCAGAGACAGATGCATTTCAGCATCTTTGCATGGCCTAAGCACACTTACAATTGTATAGGAGGAGAGAAGATTTTGGGTTCTGAATCTGCAAGCCATTGAGGATGAGGAGGTCAATGGAAAGCGAGAGCACTCAGCACCTGACAGGAACTGTTCAGACCTTTACAAAACTGGACCTTTGGTATATCCATCACCTCTGCGGTGCTCCAGACCATCAGCTGCTACTCTGCATGGGCCAGATTGAGAGATGAGGCAGTTGAAGTACCTTAGGGATGACAACTTCTTGTGTTCTCTGTCTAGTGTGATGGAGAGCAGCAGAGTGGGGGTGCCCTCAGAGCAGCCTCACTGCCTCATTTCTGTGTTTGGCATCAATAGAGTGGGAGCAGGTAAATGGAGTATGTTTTTCAGCAGAGCTCTCAGAGTGTCAGGAAAGCTGTGATGACATACCCTTAACATCCCTGTAGAGCAAGCACAATGTTGACACACTTAAAATCTTGTTAGGTAAATCAACATGTACCAAATCACATTTATAGTCATAGCAATTAACAACATCACATGGGCCTATATAACTATAAGTATATCCTATATGTAGGACTATATATTTATATGATTGTATGTAGATCCCATATAGTGTAATAGTGAAGTCGGTTCTGGGCAAAAGAGGTCCCAGGCCAGACGCAAGGGGTATTTATACATGTGCTTCAGGAGTGAGAGGGGCACTCTGAGAGCTGATCTAATTAAAGTGCCCAGAGCATCACATATATCAGTGTCCCTGCACTGAAAAATTGTGGCAGGGGTGCTTTAACTATAGTTCGTTGAACAAGCTTTAGTTAAAGCGCCTCCATCACCATTATTCAGTGCAGGGACCCTGATATATGATACTGGAGTCTCTTGGAGCACAGTAATTGCCATGCTCCAGCAGACTTGATTAATTGCAGCATGTTGGAGCAGCCTCGCTGCATATGTAAAGGTGCCCATGGACCGCTCAAGCCCTCAAACAGGACTTAAATCAAACTCTAGCGGAGCTTTGTGCAAGTCACCTACACAGGAATAAATTTCACTCTTTTTGACTGGAGGGTTTGAAGATAACCATATGCATTAAATGACTCTGTCTGAGAAGGTAACATGGTAAAAGCATTTTCCTTGGTCCAAGCCACTACTGTTCCAAACCTAGCAAAAAAACAATGTTTTTTTTCCCTGCCCTCTCTCTCCTTTACAGAGAAGAGAGTGAGAGTGTGCTGACACTGAAAGGTTTGACTCCAACGGGAATGCTGCCCAGTGGTGTGCTCTCTGGAGGAAAGCAAACTCTGCAAAGCGGTAAGCACGTTTGTCTCTGTGAGCCATTATATGCATAAGACATTTGAGTAACTGCAGAATCCAAGGAAAATAATCTCAGTCTTCTCAGAAAAAAAAAGGTTAAATGTTAGAATAAGACATTTTACGGTATGTGAACATTTGTGAGGAGTTCATATAAGATGACTTTTTGAGACTTATACCCCACTGATTTGCAAAGAGGGGAAAAAAACACAAAAATAAACCAGACAAAAGTGATAGCCAAAAATGTACATATGAAGTATATGCGTATGCTTTCTACGCAATTCATAATTTCTTCTTGCCTGTTTAAAGTACTTTTTGATGCACAGAATTGGAGATTCAGCTTTGATAATGACACTTAAACCATATTTTTATCTGATTTCTTCTTCTCCCTCATTGCAAATCACGCAAGAAAATAGTTTTAGAATTAGAATTTATCTCCTGGCTGTACTGAATGATGATACATGAGGTATATAAAATAGAGCAGTTGCACAATCCACTTTAATCTGAAGCGAGGGAGCAATCTATTAACATCATGCTTGCTAGGTATGAAAAAAGTTTTTTTTTTTGTTTTGTTTTTTTGTTTTTTTGTTTTTTTTAAATGATTTTTATCTCAGTTTTGTACTGAGACATGTTTTGTCATAGGAATGCACTAAGCCTGTAGTAGCAGTACACTTGATGCCTTATTCCATCTGGAATTAGCAACTGCAAAAGAATGTTTAATTTACTAATGTATGCTCTCTTTTTTCCTGTATTTACTATTGTACAATATATGCCATGCACCCAAGAATGTTTTACTTTTTTATGTTGTAGTTCTGCTGTCTGCATATGTCAAAAATGGAAATGTACTTTATATATTTTACGCAGTCTCAGCCTCTAACTTTCCTGTTTCCCTCCTGGAGTATTCTTTTGCTGTATTTTTCCCTTTTACTGTCTCTTTTCTCTTATCTAGAAGATTCAGGTACTTTGTGGTAATTTTTTTTGGTGCCTTGTGTGTTACACAGATAGTAACGTTCTGCTTTGAAAATGCTGCAATATGATTTACCAGAATGTCTCTCTCAGTGTTACAGTGGGATTGTGTCTTTATCCAGGCTGTTCTCAGTATCGTTCTGTTAGATTTGTCAGACAATTTGGACCAAGGAAAATGCTGATGTTACCCTGACAAAATATTAGGAAACAAACTAACTTTTAGTATATTACCAAAAAGTTGTTAAAATGGCTAAAATGAAAATCCCCTCATACTGCAGTATTCTGGCTTAGTAAAACATTACTATACACAAACTATTACATTAATTAACACGTAGTACACCATTCACCAAATATTCTGAAATCTACATAGTTTCTGTTCAGCACATTTTCATAATACTTTGTTTTAACAGAAAATATGACCAATATGTTCCGTGGAAGTACACATTTTAGTCATCGTCATTTATGCCTAATGTGTCAGTGCTGGTTTGGATCCAGTTATTCATCTTAATTTCTTCTCACAGTGGCTATGTTTCTTTTTTTATTTTGTTTCTGTTTTGTTTCCATTTTTTTAGATGTGTCATCTTACTTTGTCGTGTGAGGGGTGTAGACTCACCTTGGTGCATGTGGATTACCTCTGGTAACTTTTACATGCAGCAAGATGACAATATACATCTTAGCATTGATCTCAATCCATATTTAATATCAAAGCTACAAAAGCTTGTTTGGGGGGAAAAAACCCTTCTGATTTGGGGGAGAAAGGATTGCATTTTGATCTGTTTTCTGAATAAGCAGATTTTTTTTTTTTTATAAATGTCTTGGCTGCTCCATTGGTAAGTTAGATTGCATTTTCTGACTGCTTCAGCTTCTAAATCTGGCTGTAAGAACAAATGCAAACCGAAATTGAAGGATATGATTTGAATTGCAAACTACCAGGAAATTTGAAAATTGGTTATTTTTAATAGTGACTTAAAAAAACCCCCACAAAACAATTATGGCCTGCAGTGTGCACATAGCACTGCAACAGCTTTCTAATGATTACATTTTTATCTCTTACCCAGCTGTTGTGTTTTCACTACCTGCAGCTTTTAATCTCACTATTACCTCTACTTTTATTAAATATCAACTGATTTAACAGACGAAAATTATTTTGATCAGAGACATGGTATTATAATGAGGGAAGTGTGCAGATAAAGGTACATTGAAACCCAAGCTGGTTTGTGAGTAAAAGAAAATGTACTTGCATTAACCCCCTGTTCAGTTGGGGCTGGGGTGGGGTGGGGTGGGATTCCAGGAGAGAGAGCAAATTACAAGCTGTAAATTTTATACTTTCCTCTTAAGTGGCATTCCAGTCCTGTGTAGTACTAGTAGCATCTAGTGCTCTCTAAATGAAGATCTGAAATAGTATGAATTTCTTCTTCAGGCTTTATGCCACTTTTCCCCCATCCCTTTCTGGATACCCACAAATCAGGCTGCCACAGTCCTAAATGCCACGGTCATTTTACAGTACACTTTGTAGGTGAGATGCACAATATGGAAAACATTTTTCTTTTGTCAATTTTTTTGAGCTGAAAGAAAAAAAATGTTTCTCTCTTTTTTTAAAAAAAGTTTAATTTGCAAATCCTTCAGCTTCCAAAAACTATTTCTGTAGCTCAGTCAAGCCTGCAAATTATACTTATTCTGTTCTTTGTGTAGCATTTCTGTGTTGTCTTTTGTGCCAAAATCCAGCACTTACAGTAACATTAGTGTATTAGCTCCTTTGCTATTCACTGACTTGTTCTTAGAGTTAAAATCCTCTGCTCATTTTTCTCATTCGTTTTGCTACCCCTTTCTTCTCTTCAGCTACTGTTGAGGCTATTGAGGCTGATGAAGGTAAATTAGCCAGTCCCCTTTCTGTTGTTCCTACAACAGATAAGGGCTCTGCTGGGTGTATTCATTTTGCTGTAGCTTGTACAGAGTGTGTGGGTGTTGGGCTAACAATTGTGGCTCGGTATTAACCAAAGTGTACTTGCTTTAAAGGGGAAAGTGCTTTTTGTTGTTGTTTTTTTTCTTTTTTTAAAGTTATGATGCTGTTCTAATTTGTGTACATTAAACTTAAGTACTAAGTAACGTCATGAGCCGATGAGGAGACTTGTATTTCAGCTAAAAGGGGACACGACACGGCAGCTGTTAATAAATTGCTCTTTGACACATAGTGCATGAGCAGTATTTGAAAGGCTGAATCATTTCTCTGGCCTCAAATCGTTTTCGATCTTTGATAAAGGAGACCAACACACAGCTTTACAAACATGGTGGTGGGGGTTTATTCCTGGGTTGGGGGAGGTTGGAGGGGGGTTTTGACTGGGGTGGGGGGAGCACTATAAAAAGCAGTTTTTGAGTGAATCTTTTTGGTACAGTTCAATATGTTTATGTCTCTTTAAAAAGTAAAATACCATGAGACATTTGTCTGCCAAGATGTCAGTTTCTTCTACTAGTGTCAGTTAAAATACTGGGTATTTACATTAGTGCAACCGTTAACACCAGCACCATCATAGCTACAGATTTAAAATGACTGGCTGCCTAAGAAGGTTTCTGAATGTTTACTCTTGCAAACTTTGTTGCTTTCTTAATGATCTTTTAAATTTAAATCCACATGTGATTTCTTTAACAATAAAGTTAAGATCGATTTACAACTGAAATAAGTATGTGCGGTTTGCAATCGGCAATGCAAAGTTTTGGAAGAAGAATTTCAAAGTTCCCCTTTAAAACAAAATTCTTCAGTTGTATTTTGTTCTTGCCCCCTTAAAAAACGTGTCTTTATTTAAAAAATAAAAATAAAAGATTTCATGATCATGGTTCCTTGACGCGGTAAAAGTGCCTTTTGAGCACCTGAATTTGTTTTTGATCTTTATAAAGCAGCAAACAAAATTATACAACAAATAAGTAAGAGAAAATACAACTGCTTTCTAAATAGCAGTGATTGAGCTGCTATTTATGTTGGAATTATCTATTCCTATTGGCAAACTCTAATCTGCAGTGTGCATTCTCGTTGACAGTTTGGCTGTTTTCTGTGATTTCTGTGACTATGTGTCGTGTTTAGTATCCTCTCAATGTAAACTGCTAATACTCGTTGTCTGACCAGCAACTACAGCAGAGCACATTCTTCAGCACTAAGGTTTATAACATGTCTGCTTGAAATAAAATTGATAGAAAGTGAGCCCCATTCCAGGAATATTCATTCTTCAAGTTAATTCTTGATTTGCCATTATCACTAGTTAGCCACTCCAAACATAGCTATTTATTTACTGGTTGAAATACAGCAATCCAATGCTGGATGAAAGGGTACATCTTTCTATAATTCAAGTAAAAAATATCATCACCAAGGCTTCATCAATCAAGTGCTCACAACCACTCCTGGGAGAAACATCTCTCAGGGTCAAGTCCCAAAATGGGACCAAGTTAAACAAAGCTATCCATTAAACACTCGCTCTCAGGGTTTGGCATGGGTGCTCACTAAGCATTTTTATTTTTGTGAGAGAATTAAAGAAAAATTCCAAATATTTGATGTAGGCCTTTATTTTCACTACCAGCCCCCTGCCCCCTTTGATTAACTAATCACCATGTTTTTTTTCCTCACTAAAACGATACATGCTAAAAAAATCATGCACCTCAAATTTTACCTGAAGTATGAAATGCTCATAAAATTGCTAACAAAATTAATCATGAGGAACAAAGGGAGTCTACACACTTGCACAGGAATGGTTGGCAAAATTTCAGCATGAAAATGCTTTCCCTGCTCCTTGCAAAATTCAGGGAGTGGTATATTGGTACCAGGCCTGTTCAGGGGGGTTTCAGAAGCAGTAAGAGAACCGTGTGTCACTTTAGTGATGGGCCAGCTTGTGAAATGGAAAAGAATAGTTCTGTATAGCAGGATGTGAGTCTGCTGTGTCCCAATTTGGTGGAAAATCCCTAGATGAGGGGGGAAAATCTGGAAATCAGTCTCTCTAATTTCCTAATCTCTCTATCCCAAAGGAAGTTTTCAGGTTCCTGGTACTAACACACCATCTCTGCTGTGTGGCATGTTATGAGAAAGGCATTACCAAAATGCAACCAACGTTCTGGAGATTCATTAGATTAATTTGGTTTTGATTAGAAGAGAGAAAAACACACAAGAGGCTACTGTAAATTATATTAAAAGCTGTCAGCAGCTCTTTGCCTATAGTGCCTTTTTCTCTTCTGTTTATATAGAGATACCTTCAAAAAGAAGTCCTATAATGAAACAGTTATATTGGATTCTACAGAGACTTTTGCTTAGTCTGTGGATACCTGCTGAGATCAATGTGGAATTGTTAGTGTCATTGCTGAAGGACAGATTCATTGACTTTTTAAATTTAGTTACTGGGTCCTATGTTGATATATTTTCAAAGTTAAGAGGGGCAAATGCACCACAAGAATGATATTCTTAGTCCATGTCACACTGAATTACTGCAGTTTAACCAAATTACTTTCTAGAGCCCAAGGGATGTCAGGAAAGGTTACTGTTCTTGAGCAACACGTGAGCAGTTCAGCTGAGATAAAAAGTCTGCAAAGCCTTCTGAAAAGAATGCTAGAGCTGCCCCTGTTCGGTAGCTGTAATGTGTGTTCTGCAAACTGATCACACAGCATTGTTCGCTGTTTCTTATTGGCCCAATCTTTAAATCTTCATTCTGTTCTTACTGAGAAAAAGTCCTTGGAAGTCTGTGGGAGTTTTGCCCGAGTAAGGAAATTAAGGCTGAGGACAGTGTTTGTAAGGCTTCAATTTATTTATTTTTTTAAATATAGGTAGACAGTGCTTTTGGGCATTGTTCCTGATTCCAGTTATAGCCTTATAATATTTTAAGCTGAACCCAGGTGGACAACAAAATATTAGAAGTTAATCTTGATGAAAATACTTTTGGATTGCAAGAGAGACATTAGTTGTTAACTCATTAGCTCTCCAAATATGGTACAAAGTCTATTGTGTTGTCAGATTTTGTCATTTTGTTCTTCACAATGAAGGAATTTCTAACTCATTGACTGTTGATAAAGTGGTGAAATGTCAACAGGTTTACTTTGCTAATTTTCTTTTTAATAATCCTTTATTTAGCTATCAAAGGATTTTCACCGCAGCATAAGATCACTAGCTTTGAAGAAGCGAAAGGCTTAGATCGAATTAATGAGAGGATGCCTCCTCGCAGAGATGCCATGCCATCTGATGCCAACCTTAACTCCATCAACAAGGCAATCTCCACAGAGACTAATGGCACTGACAGCAATGGCAGTAATAGCAGCAATATTCAGTGACCATTTCCTGTTTTGTTGAGCTGCAGGGCATGATGGGATTACTGCACATCAGCAGTTGGATGTTCTTGCCTCTGATAATAGCTTACTTGCTCTGGGGGCCAGGTGTTGGATTCAGTTTACAATATCATCTATGAAGAGATAGTAAACTTTATTTTGGTGGGTGGGGTGGGGGTGGGGGCGAAACACCTCCTTTGGATATGCCTTTAAAATGCTTGTAGAAAAATGAAAGCTAATGCTGGTATATATTGCAAAGTTAGGGGAATGAACATGTTTTCCTACTGCATTTGGGAACTTCTAGATATGTTACTGAAAGGCCTTTTATTATGTTACTGGACATGAAAACTTTGTTTAATTTCTTACTAACTATTGTACGTTTACAGTTGCAGCACTAAACATGGATGACATCAAAACATTTTTAACAAAATGATGTACAAACTAAATAAGGACTATTTATTGATAATGTTTTGCTACTCTTGTCAGACAATGGCTATAAAATAAATTAGGCAGTCTTTAAAATATATATATAAAAAAAAGAATGTTGCAAAAGTAAAGC